GGAGATTGGAAGGGCCAGATAGCGAGTGGTAGGGGGAACGGGAAGGGACGCGGGGAGGACAGGGAGGAGGGAGCTAAGGGACAAATAATGGGAGAGCGTGCCCCCCCCTCTCTCATCTTTCTTCGTTCTCCTCCCCTTTCTCTTCCTCCCAATCCTTTTCTCCCCCCTATCCTACCTCCTCGTCATCCTCTTCCCGCCTCCCCCACTCCTCGCCTTCCTGCCTGGTGCTGCCGCTTTTCCTCCCAGGTGGCCCATTCGCCTCATCCTCGCCCGCCCCTGCCTCTGGTCCCGCTGCGGCGGCCGCTGCTCCCGCTGCGGCTGCTGTAACGCTCGAGCTCTCATGTGCTACAAGGGCAGGCGCCGCCGTCGCCAACAATCTGCTCTCAATAAGTTCATGAAACGTAAGTGCGTGATCACGCCCCAGGAGGTCCATGGCTCTGAAGCTGTGCTCCGCACCTGGGTCGACACGCAGCCGTACCCCTACAAGGTCTACTTTCCGGCGTTCCCCAGCGCCGACGGCGACGACACCACAGGAGGAGTCGCCACGCTTGTTCCGTGGCTCTCGCCGATGGAGCCGGAACAGCTCCAGCCGCATCAGTTCCGCTCTTCGGGACGCGTCCAGCAGCTCACGATTACGCACGCCATCACGCAAACCACCATGGTGACCATGCGTGTCCACAACCACGATATCGCGTTCGAGGGCCGCCGCAATATCCAGCAGGCATGGGAGCTTAAGCGTATGCGGGTGGAGGCGAACACGCGCAGTCATTGCGACCGTCGACTTCAATGTTGCCAGCCGCCCACCACAGAGCTTCTTCCAACCACAACCGCAGGAGGCGCGCCTCGGCCTCGATAGCAGCATGCGCCAAGAGCAGCCGTTCTGGAGGGCTCTTGTTGGTTCGATGCTCGAGATCGAGACCGATCTTCCGTCGCGCTTCAACCGCTCGGACTACACTGCCTCCACCATCGGCCGCATCTTCATCAGCATCCCTTCTCACGCCACGACCGAGCCCACCATCAACGCGAACGTCGCTTATGATGCGACACGACTTTCGGACGACCGCCCCTGCGACCACGCGATCCTCACCTTCTCCATCGGGATCAAACCACGCACCCCGCTCATCGACCTTGCCATCCACCCGTCGATTATCCGCCACCCGAACTACTCCGTCAATTTTCAGCAGCTGCTTGACGCCACGAAGACCGACCACGTCTCCATAGACAGCAGATGGCGCACGCATAAAAGGATCATGGCTGAGGCTGCGTAGTTGACACGTGATGATTTGGTTCGGAAGACCACCAGTGACGCTAACAAGACGGGCCTTCTTGCTGGGGGCGCCCTCGCTGCCCGCTCCATATCCAGAGCCATATGGCGGCAAGACCTTCATCTCCCTCGCCGCGTCGCCATCGCCGCCGCTCTGGGCACCACTTACCTCCCGATCGACAACGGCGCCATCGCGCTCCGCGACCCCATCGCCATAGCCGCCCAGGCCGCGCAGCTGCGCCGAAACTTCGAGGCCAGGCACTCTTGCCCAGCAGGCAGCTCAGCAACCCCAGGGGCACGGAGGAGCAGTGCCACGCGGGGAGCTTCGATCCGTCGCGCGGCCCGCCCAACGTCGCGCCCTTCTTTGGGCCCCCTGGAATAGCCTCGTCATCCAGGGCATCAAGATCTCAGGCCCTGATGGGCCTCAGACTGCCAGGGAGAGCGGTCCCATTGTTGCTGCTCTTCGCACGCATTTGCAACCCATCTTCGAGGCGAAGCGCGCCGGCGCCCCCGAGGTCGCCGACTACATCCACGCGCGCGCGCCGAAAAAAGGCGACATCTTCGACATCGGGGCGCCGGCCAAGCCGCAGATCAAAGCCTTCCTGCGCAGGGCTTCCCCCCTCGGCTCCATGACCTGACTCCCTGCCGCGCTCTCCTCGGCTCGCGCGCGACGCGTCGCTCGATTTGCTCGAGGACTTATCTTTCTTCCTCTGCTCGGGCCAGCACTGCGTGTGCAATCTGAATGACTCCGACTTCGCCTTCCCGCCGCAGGGTGATAATGCGCGGGGCGAGCTCGCCGCCGACGGGGCGCCCGAGGACGCGCGCCCTTTCTCGCTCGAGAACGCGGACATCGAAGCTATCGCTGGCGCCGCGAATAACATGCTCAAGGGCGCCGCGGCAGAGCGCGCGCGCTCCGCCCAGCAGGGTTTCGTCCAGGGCCGCAACTTCACCGAGCGCGTCGCCCGCCTCGACGCTGAGATGCGCCTTGCTGGATGGCTACTAGAAGCTCTTGTAACCAAACCCGTCTTTGCCAGCTTTGACTTCTCGGCTACCTCCCCGTCGATGGGGCGGGGCTGGCGCTTCATCGCGCTCGAGCACTTCGGCCCCCCGCAGGGCATCCTCAACCTCGTCCAAGCCATGTGCTTTGCGCCCGCCAGCTACATTGAGACCGACGGCGTGCGCCGCGACATTTTCGCGATCGGCTCTGGAGTGGCGCAAGGCTGCCCCGCGTCGGGCTCTGCGCGGGCGATGTCAGAGACCCAATCATCCATCATGTTGCGCCGTGTGTGGAAGACCTGGACGGCTGTCCGATCCTGCGCGCCGGCTACGCGTGCGCGTGCGCTGGCGGCATTGGCCTGCTGACGTGCTCGCCCGACGCGTTGCGCCGAGTGACCGCCCCGTCTGCCGCTGCAGAGGAGCTCGCGCTTCCCTCTCTGAAGCCTCGCAAGTGCTGAATCGCCCCTCTTTGGTCTGCCGAGGCGAGAGCGCTCCTGGCCGTGCCCTGGCCTCCGCGGGATGGCTTCTCGGTCGCAGGGCGATCCAAATACCTGGGTACTTCTCTCGGCCCTGAGGCCTCGCTGGCCTGCCGGCGGCTCGCCCCCGGGCAAAAATGGCGGCAGCGGAGTAATTTTCTTCAGCTTGCGCAGAGCGGCAGCGGCCCAACGGTTCGCTTGCACGACGCAGCCGCGATGCCTTTCCTGAGCTATGTGTCGCAGTTATCCCCCCTTGGGTCCTCCATCGCTCGCCGAGAACTGTATATTTTCAACGGAATGCTTAGCGCGCCACCGAACTTCTGTCGCAGGGTTGACCTGATCGCCGCGGCGAGCTGGCGCCCGCCACCTGTCGTTCAATCCCTTCAAATCCGAGGTGTTGCCACTGCCGCGCGGTCTGCGGCAGCGACGCCTCAAGGCCCCTGGGAGACCATCGCTGATCGCCTAGCTGAATCGTCGCGAGAAGAAACGACGCCACATATCGCTCCCCGCTGGCAGGCTGGCGCCTGGTCCCCGCAATTTTGGTCTTCCCAGACAGCCACTGTGCAATGCTACCGCTCTCTCATGCAACGTGTAGCTCAGTTGCCGTTCCCAAGCCAGCCCATTGCTGCCGCTGCTGCCCGCGCTGCCCACAATGAGCAAAGAGATGCGGCCGCAGCGAGCCCGCCCCGAAGTGCCAAGTTCCAGCGCATCTATTCAGTCCAGTTTCGCGACCAGTCTTTCAAGTCTCCTGTCGCGGTCACGCTTGCCAAGCGCCTCCTTGCCTGGGGCCTTCAGGCGCACCCGGTACCTGGAGAGCTACAGAAGCGCTGGAGGGCACCGACCGACGCTCTCAAGCAATTGCGCCCGAGCTGGCGCTGGGCCACATTCAGGTCCCTCAGCGGTGGTTGGACGACCGCGGCTAGAATGCGCATCCTACAGCAGCGCGCGCGATTTCGGACGCGCGCGCGCCTGATTCATTCCCGCACTACCTTTCCTGCCCCGCCATTTCGAGACCCCCCTGGCACCCCGACCCCCCCCCCTCCCCCCCTCCCCCGATCAACGCTGGCGGCATGGGGGCTGGGCCCTGCCGCAGCGCGTGCAGCTGACCCCATCCAGCCCTATGGCTCCACCGCCTACGGTCTCAAGGGTCGTTCTGTCATTCCACATTTACAATGAGATGAAATCCACTGCCAGCGCGCGCGGCGGCTGCCTCGCAAGCAGACCTGGTCGCCTCGCGCCGCGCTGCCCTCGCATTACTATACGCGTTGAGGAGCTAGGCCAGAGCGCGGCGGCTGAGACTAACTCTTTGCCCTCTTCTCGTTCGTGCAAGTGTCCGCTTGCCCTCTCCTTTTCTCGGGGTGCCCATGCCCCCCCCCCCCTCTGCCCCGCCTCCTCCGCCTCCCCCACCTCCCCCTCCTCCTCCTCCGCCTCCCCCCCCCCCCCCGTCCTCGCCCTCCTCCTCCCCGAGCCGCCGCGAGGGATTCAGGAGCTTGCCCGGCCGCGATTCGCATGCTTATTTATTGTACCTCTGTTTGCGCATTTCCTTATCGTCTCGGCCAGACGGGGTGGGGGCGGCCCCCGCGCTCGCGCATCGCAGTTCGCGCACGGGCATTCCATCTTCAACCCGCTCTCTGCTTGCACGGTAGAGCGTCTATCGGACATCAGTGCGAACATTTAAACGTGGGGCGTTCTATTCGCGCGTGGGGTTGCGGAGACTACGACTCGCGAGCCCGCGCGGTGCGTCCAGCTACCTCGCCGGCGGTGTCTGCGTAAGGGTGCGGAGAAAGGGTGCTTCGTCGCGCAGACTCGTCGGCTGTTTATTTTCAAAGATAAAGGACACCCCCACTCGAGCCACCGAGAGATATACAGCCCTCCCGTGGTCTTGCAGGGAAGGGTCTGGGGTTTCAAAGTAGCACTGCCAACGTGTAGCGTGGTTCTCTCTACAGCATGAGGCATCTTATTCATGTAAACGAATCGCATATAGGTGCTCTGATGAGCGAATGGCTGGGGGGGGGGGGGCACGGGCCGACTGGGGGCGCGTGCGACGGTAGTGGTAGGAGGCGATCTTAACGCCACTTTCGGGCTCCACTGTGCCAGTGATGGAACATTCCAGAACGCCATCTAGTTGCCTAACACCACGCGTCACCATGTTCGAGAATGAGAATGGCACCCGCTGCAGGAGTTTCTGCCAGACGAGCGGTTTTGTGATTGCGACGACATTCAGGGCGCTGGCCCCGTGTACTTCGGGCCGAAAGGTGGAGCGAATGGAGCGGTTCACTTTGCTCTGCCTGCGCGAGCGGCGCGCGTTGCACAGGGCTGCTTTGCATTGCGCAAGTCAGGCAAACGACTCCAGCTCATCGCAGCCAAAGGGCCCCCGCCATCATGCGCCCATAGGTCTAGCACTAGATGCGCGCGCGCCGTGCACCGCGGGGCCGCCCCCAGCCATCGGCACGACTGAACAAAGATCAGCCTATGCAGTGCTTGAGGGCTGCGCTTCGGCGGCGGCAGGAGACGTTAAGGAGGGTCGAGGAGGGGCCGGGCAGGGCCGAGGAGGGGGGGTGAAGGAGCTATTGGACTGTCCGACAGCCGACAGAGCGCGGAACCGACATTGCGAGGCAGCCAGGCAGGCGACCCGCGGCGCACACGGAGCACAACGCCGGAAAACCGACCCTTGCGACCGGGCCTTCCAGGAACAGCGCCTCAAGCTAATCCAGAAAATGGCGCGATCCGACAACTCGCGGGCCCCGATATTTCTCACGTGGGAATGGGGTATGTGAGGACATTGCTGCGTGGGATTACGAGTGTCCCGCGGGAGGTCGGGGGCGCTTGCGGGAAGTCCCGCAAAGCCCGACTGGTAGAAGAGATCTGGGAATCGTCGGAACGGGGGGCTATGCAAAAATGCATCGGCGGCAGTCCGCCGCGGACCCCGGCGCCGCCAACGCCGGGCCCGAAAGGTAAAAAAGGCTTCACCAGGGCGCGGCGCAGGCCTGCCGGGGCGCCGACGTCTTCTTCACCCCGATGGTGGTGGAGGCGCGCGGCGGGAGCTGGGGCGAAGGCGCGGCGCGCCTTCGCCGCGCTGGCCGCGCGCGCGGCCGACGCGCGCGGGGGGGGGGCCGCCGGACGTGGGTGACATGATGGCCCGGCGACGCCCCGTCTCCCTCCACGGGGGGAACGCGCGGGCCATTCTGCAGCGGCTGCAGCAATAGCGGCCGGGGGCGACCGCAGCCCGTCTAGCCGCGGCGGCGGCGGCGCAGGCCGTCGCGCGCGGCGCCGAGGAGGACAGCGAGGCGAAGGGGGAAGAGGGCGAGGGCGAGGACGAGGACGAGACCACGAGGAGGTGACCGAGGAGCGCAGAGGGAACCCAGAGAACGCAGGAGGAGGAGGAGAAGGAGGAGGGGGGGGGGGGGGGGGGGGGGGCGAGGCGGAGGAGGGGGGGGCGAGAGGCGAGGAGGACGGCGGCGAGGAGAGGTGCGGCAGGGGTGCGACTGGCCGCGCTGCGGGGGCGTGGCTGCGAGGCCGGGGGGCGGCGGCGCCCACGGGCGCCGCGGGGGGCCCGAGGCGGCCCGGAGGACTTAAGGGGCCAGAGGTGTCGGAGGAGGGCGAGACACAGACGAGGGCGAGGGGGAGGAGGGCGAGGGGGCGGAGGGGTGGGGCAAGAGGAGGAGGAGGAAGAGGAGGGGGGGGAGGAGGAGGAGGAGGAGGAGGAGGAGGATAGGCTACGTCGTAGGACGAGGGCGCAGAGGGGGCGGAGGCCGCGGTCAGGAGGCGGCCGCAGAAGAAGGGCGCGCTCGTCGTTCCAGGCCAGGAGGGGGCTGCCAAGAAGAAGAGAAGGGCCAGAGGACGAGGGCGCGGAGGAGGAGGAGGAGGCGGAGTCATGCGAATACCTCCAAGGACCAGGTCTGAGGGCGCCACTCGGGGCCGCGGTCCAGCTCGAGCTTTGTGGCGGATCCAATGCCGAACCAATGGGCGAGGACCCAAACGTCGGTTCTTCTTCGCCTCGCGCACGCACTGGACCGCTTACCAATGGGCTACAGTGCTAGCGAAGGACCCGCACGAAGGCGGACTCAGTGTTCAGGTGGTCGACCTAGAACCACAGCTACTAGACAGGGAATGCCACTGCTCGGCCAAGAGAGACACCCCTGCTCATTGCCAGCGAGCAACGGCGCCAAGCAGCGGAGGGCCATGATGCGATGCTGCGCTACTTTCAAAGAGCTAAGATGCGTAGAGAGCGCCCTGCCTTGGGAATCCCAATTGAAGTGCCCCTTCTATGACCCTGCGATCGACCTGCGCGACCCGACCGACGCGACGGCGCAGGCAAAGGCAATCGGGGCCGGAGATCACGAGGAGGAAGCAGCAGCGCGCGCAGTAGAGCATCGCTCGCGAAGGGAAGACAGTTGCCGGAACGACTGGGCCGGACAGGGGCAGACCTGGGAGACGGGGGGGGGCGCCGGCCGGCCTTGCCTCGCTGGTCGACAAATGCGCCGTGGGAATGGTTGCGAGGGCAGGACTGGGGGTGCCCGCTTATGCGACGGGGGCCCGCGCGGCTATGCGGCGGCTCGCGCGCGCAATGCCCGCGTGCAGAAACAACCAGACAACTCTGCTTAGCCGGCGCCGTTCTCTCGCGTTCGGGGCTGACAGAGCCGACGGCCAGCTATGGCTCTTAGGCAAACGTATGATGCGCGCCTGTCGCAGCGCGGGTGCGTCGCGGCACTCGGGCGCCCGTCGAAGGGGGGCGCCGATCCAACGCGAGGCCGGGGCCCGGGGCGGATAGAGCGCACTCGCGACCATCGTGGCCACGACTCACAAAGCAGGACAATTTGGATGCAGCTTTATATTTACTAAACTACGACTGTTCAAGCGTTTTCGCGCCAACCCACAAAGCGCCGTCGCGGGCAAATGGCGTTCGAGCAAGCAGACGAGCGGGGCCGGGCGCGCCCGGTGGGAAATATTGACATGGCGACGACAACCGACGCGCCGACTGGAGATGCGACGATGGACTCGACATCGGTATCGCACGCGGGATTTACTCTGGCGCCGCGACAGTTCAACGACGGCCATAATATGCGCGCGTAGAAATGGTGCGACGAGCTGTGCGCCCACCCGCTGCAGAGACACCGCTGCGCGCCTTGGCCCAGCAGGTGTTGTGCGCGATCTGGGGCGCAACGCATCCATGGGTGATATCGCAGAGGCGCGCGCCCTACTTGCGCGCTCTACAGCGTCGCATGCGACGGCGCACCCTCGCGAGTCAACATCGGCACTGCAAGCGCATGAGCTAATGGCAACCCGAAGCATCGCCCTTCATGGCTCAACAACCCGCGTTGTATTGCAGGGCAGGATTGTCACTGCTTCTCCAAAAAGTCGCGACGGAGCAAGTTGCCCTCTGGAGTGCCGTCGCCAGAGATGCGCGCTCTAGGGCCTTTCCTCCCGTCAGACCAAGGCCCCCCGCGCGAAGCGCGCAGGCGCTGCGACGCCATGCCCCTCGCGCGGAGACAAGGTTCTGCTTCTTGGATCCCAAGGACAGCTTTGCAGTCAGACGAATGATGCATATTGGGAGCGCAGTCAGGGCAGGTCTCAGCGGCTTCACCAGCGCGGCGCTGCCCGATGCCGGCACAGTTGCACTGGGCGCTCTGATTGGCAGGTACCCAAGAACAGTAGGGAGACTGCGGATGTCCTGCGCGAGAGCAGACGGCACTGTCATACGCCACAAAGCAGCCCGTGCGTTTCAAGAGCGGAGGCTCGAGAGACTCTGTCCCAGACGGGTGGTGCCAACACTGGGCCAATTACCCTATTGGCAGCGACAATGGGATTGCAGCGATACTTGAGGACAGGGCGCTGGAACGGTTGGCAGGCGCCGCGAGATTATTTCCCGGGGATTAAGCGGGCCCCTCGTCTGCGCCAGTGGCAAAACAGTTTAGACAGGACTTGGGCGAGCTCGCCTCGCTAGACGAGAACACGCACGCGCGGCGCCCCACTCGAATTTCCGACCCTGCCACCCTTGCTCCAGGGGCGGCGGGGCGGCAGCAGTTGGCACGCGCAGACGCGAACATCTCGCGCGGCGCAGCGCAGGGGGGGCAGCACGGGGGGAGAGGGGTGGGGGGGGGTTCAGGAAGGAAAGGAGGAGTGCCAGGAGCGACCTTCCTGGCGCAACTACCCGCGCGTCCATGCCGAGGGCCGCGAAACAGCGCGCGGGGGAATAATTCACCCCCTCCCGAGCCCTCCAGGCCCACGAAAGAGGGGCCCGCGACCTCCGTGCTCTCCTCGCCCAGCCTGCAATCACTCAGTACTGCCCGCGGAGCCTCGGCGCGTTCAGCAATCGCGAGACGGCCGTCGTCCGGTGCCGAAGAGCCGGCGAGAGGCGCGGCACGCGTTGCGCTTATCACAGCAGGTGGGAACATGGGCCACGAATTCCACCGACTTTGGGAATGTCGCACGCGCGAACACGGGGCCCAAGACTTGCCGCCAGTTCAGCGCCGCGGGCGCGAGCGCCGCGAAGGCCCCCGCAGCGCTAGAGAACGGGCTCACGATGGCGACGGCGCTTCCGAGGCCGAGCGGCAGATGGGCGGCGAACGAGGGCCAGGGCCGCAGATCGGAGGAGTTCGCCAAGACCGCCCCTCTCCCCGGAAGCAGCAGGGAGCGGGGGTCGCCTAGCGCCGCGAGGGGGGGGGGCCTTCGGAAGAGACTGCGGCCACTGCGACGACAAGCTGAACGCGACGACGCGGCTCGCCCTGCGACGCGCCCCCGACAAGCGCGAATATCACCGCGCGGCCAGCGATTTTTTGTCGATTCCAGTACAGGCGCCAGCTTTCCACGGGACTTGCGGGCAGCCAAGAAGTATGCAGCGGAGGTCCGCGCCGTTGGCAAGAAACTCGGCCCGGGCCCCCCGCGCGCGCATTGCCGTGGAGGTCATTCGCGAGTTGCGCGAGTCGGCGACGAGCAGGGGGCGAGGTGAAGAAGCGGGCTAAGGCGCTCTTCCGCGAGTTCATCGAGAGCACGGCGAACATGTTCGCCCCCCTGATGATGCGGGAGATCCCCATCAGCTGGAAGGCCAGCGAGACGCGCGAGAGGGAGGGCGCGGACGAGGGGGCGAGGATGGGGAATATCCAGCACAGCCTGAACCCCAACCCTGCGCTCGGAGCCACTTTGCAGGGGCAGGGGGTCGGCGAGCCCGCGCTAACGTGGGCGCGCGCCTCCTCGGTCCTCAAGATGAAGGAGGCGATCACCATCGGCGCGCTCGGGCTGGACGCGGCCCGGGCCAAGGGCCCAGGGCCCGAGACGGGCGCGCCGTCGAGGCCCTTCTGCGCCGCAGGAGCTAGGCGCCGACCGGGACAGCTCATCGCACCCGGGTGGACGCGCAGTGGGTTATGGCGAGTCAGCCTGGACAACCGCAGTGACCGGCGGCGCGTTGCCCTGCCTACTTGCGTTGCCGCGTGCAGTCAGTCCATCAAAAAGATGGCGAATGCCATCGGCCTCGACCCCTAACGCTTCTCTACAGGGCCTGAGGAACTCGACCGCAGGTTTGGAGCAACAGCGGGCACTAACAGGACCCCAGGGGACCCCTCAGGTTTTGGTGGTGCGACTCCACGCGTACCTCAGCAAGGGCAGCAGGAGTTCCCGACGGGGTCTGGGAAACAACCGCTGTAATATTGGGCACCGTCAGCTCCGACGCCAGCTGGCACTTCTGTGATGTTAGATATCGCAGCCTGTCCGTGCCATGGAGTCTCGGCTCAGTGGCGAGACCGCCTTAATTGTCTTTGTTGTGGCCCCTTGGCTTGACGCTCGCGCATGGGCAGATGGCTGCACCGCGGCGGCCTCGCGATAATCTGCCGTCGTATATCACCCACTGCGACATGCGATATCCAAGCCCGATTGACAAGAGGGCCCGCGTCGACGGGGGGCCCAGATAACTTTGACAGTCAACGCAGCGAACGCGACCCGCTACGCCTACATGCTTGCTTGAACAGGCGAAGACACAGACATGCAGTGAGCGGGGCCATGCTGAATGCAAATTGCGGCGCGGTTTAGGAGGCCGAGCAATATCGGCTTCCCAAAGATTGACCCTGCAAATCTAGCGCCGTCACTTATTTTTCACGGGCTTCGGCCTGCGGCGCAGAACCAGGACGGAATTCTTTTTGAAACATTCTGCAGCAGAGCAATTTTCTCAGCAGTGCTCCCTTCCAGCTGGGGACAGATGTTCTGGTATTTCGGTGGGTTCTTATTTGCTGTGCTGCCCGATTTGGGTCGAAGGTTATTCCGCGGGCATCTTCCAGTGCCGGGTCACGGACGGACGCTCCGCCCCTCTTTGCTGGTCGCTCCCCCGCTGGGCTGCGGGGGCCCTCCCGCCGCCCGCCTCCAGTGGCCGCCCCTTCGCCGCGATGGCTGGACTTTCCTGCCCCCCCCCCCCCCTTTTTCCAGCGCGCCGTGGGGATTTGTGCTCTTGCCTCCTCGCGGCGCATGGTGGGGCAGAGGGGTGGCGGGGAGATTTGGCCCCTTGCCGAGGCCAGCGAGCCTTGCCGCTGTTGGGCCACCCTGCCGGTTGCAAGGTCCGCCCGCAGGCCTTTCCAGAGGAGGGGGTCTGCTCTCGAATCCCGCACGGGCCGCCGGCTCTTACCTCTCAGACCAGGGCCCCCGAGTGCCCGCCGCCGCCGCCTCTTCCTCCTCCTCCTCCTCCTCCTCCCCCTCCTCCTCCCCCTCCTCTTCCGTGGCCATTTTGGCCCGAGATGCTTCTGTCCCTCGGGCAGGAAATAGGCGCCTCTAGTCCGAGGCTAGCTTCCGATTCAGGCAACCCCAGTCGAGCTGCGCGCTGCCGGGGCCAAGGGCACACCTTCTCGGACACAGGTCCGATCACCTTTCGACATCTCTGCGCGCTGTGACATGGGAGTGGGCCGCGCGCGCGTGGACAAGCAATCTGACAAGAAGGAGAAGAAGACTCGCAAGGCCTCCAAGGCCTCCAAGAGCGATGGGACCCCTGGTCGGAAGATTAGGGTTTGGGCCCCTACTCCTATGGAGTCTGGCGGTGAGATATCGCCCGCCCCACCTGGCTCGGCGCCGCCTGCCGCCCCAAGGCGCGAGCGCAAGTCTCGGGCGGCATCATCTCGTCGCTCAAGGAGATCCCCTGCTGGCCATGGAATCGCGGACGCTCCCGAGCAGAGCTCTCGCAGTGGTCGTGGCGGCTCATCAGGGGGCTCAGCGGACGCTGCTCGGCGATCCGCTGCCCGTGCTGGCCTGTCTGCTGCGGACTGCGAGTTCCTGGCCGCTATCGACTCCGCCCCCGCCTTCCCGTCGCAGGGGCTAGCTGTCGGGCCCCAACCGCTGGCGCCGTGGGCGTCGACGGTGCCAGGCGCACGTCGCCTTCGTCGGGCACGCGGAGCGGCCCGCAGCCATGGTTCCCCCTTCCCAGCACATTGCTGGAAGATGGCGCGGGTGACTTGTAGTCGGAGAAGAGGCAGGGGCAGTTGCAGATGCAGATGGTGCAGGTGGCGGTGGCGCTGTCGGTGCATCAGTGGGAGGTGCCACTGATCCGTCGACGCGACCCGCCATCGCTCAGATTGCACGAGAGATCCAGCCAGAAGAGTTCAGCAAGGTCAAGCAGACATGCATCGGCGAGATCTCACATGGGGTCGCTGCGTCGATCGACAAGGTGCTGCCGCAGTCGATCTCCGCAAGCACGATGCCCTTGCCCAATGACATCGAAGAGCGCATGGCGACCCGCTTCAACTCGACCATGGCCCGACTGGTGGCGACCGATGAGAGGGTCGCGAGACTGGAGGCGGAGAACCAATCCCTGGTCGAGAGGATGGAGCGGGTCGAGAAGGTCTTCGACCTGCCTAGGGTTGCCCTACGGGTTCCTGCGGCGAGGGCCGCAGACTGGGACAGGCCGCGGGGCCACTCCATCTTCGCCATCAACGCGAGGGAGCCCATCCCCGTCTCGGCCCTGGCAGAGGCGATCCAGCCATGGCTGGAGGCGCGCGGGTATCAGCTGGGGCGCGCGCGCAGGCTGGAAGGACCCCAAATGTCGAAGTCTTTCGTGCTGCGCTTCGGGATCGCCGACGGGGAGACGCACCTTGCGGCGGAGACGCGTGTCCGCCACGCGCATGCTGCGCTTCGTTAGGGTCCTTGACGTCGTGGACGGTTTCGGACGATTCTCCCTGGCGACAGAGCGGTTGAGATCTATGTCGGTTTGGATAAGAAGCAGGACGTCGCCAGAGAGAGGGCCTGCAAGCAGCTCGAGATATCCACCGCGGAGGCCCTGCAAAAGGATGTCTTTGTCGATCGGGACGCGGGCGCGCTCATCATGCAGTGGCAGCCCATTTCGAAGATCGAGGGCATCCCAGCGACCCGCCTCGGGTTCGTTGGAATCTCGCGTCGCTGGCCGACCTCGGCCTGGAGCGAGCGAGGCATGCTGCTCTCGCGGGCCGCGTGTTCTCCAGAAAGCAGGTCCAGTGGAGTGGGTAACACGTTCTCCCGATCGACATCGGTGACATTCACAACCTGGAACACGCGGGCCCTCTGTCCAGGTCACTATCGTGCTGCGGGATGTACTCGGCAACTGCAGGTTCTGAGCGATCTTGCTGCCTCCCCCTCTGATTCACCCCCCACTGTTCTGCCGTTGCAGGAAACTCACGGTGGTGCCCCTGCCATCGAAGGGGCTGCCCAGCGCGCAGGTCTTCTGCATCATTTGTTTGCCTCATGTGCGGAGGAATATCGCGTTGGCGGCGTTGCGACTTTAATCCCCCCGTCCTCTCCTATGGCCCCTCTCGAGATCACTGAACTCCGTGACGCGGGCGTCTGTGGTTCGTTTAATCCCCCCGTCCTCGGGATTCCGTCTCTGGCACTGGAATGCGCGCAATGTTGGTTTGAGTCTGGAGGAGGTCCGTCGGGTCAGGGACCGCGTTGAAGCTCAACTTGAAGTAGTAAGGCAGGCGCCGCTCGCTTTTGGTCTGGCGCCACAGGGGGGATCTTAATATTTGCGACAGCGATCGTGAATCAAGGACATCTAGGTCCTCCGTTCGGGGAGGGCGCCCAGGTGATGGAGCCTGGCGCTCCATTTTCAGATCTCACCGAGCATGCTGGGGACCTCCCCACCACGTGCTGGCATCAGGGCACCCGCTCATGCTCGAAGGTCGACCGTTGCTTCCTTGCCTCTCCGCCGTGGTTACTGTGCCAAGGCTTTCAATCCTTGCGCGTGCACGGGGAACCCGAAGAGATGTACGCAGCTGGTGTGAGCGACCACGCGCCGGTCAGCATCACTCTCGCCGAGCGCCCTGCCTCGTCTGGGTCGGACCCCGGGCCCCGCCCTCCCCCGCTCCACCTCTACTCCGACCCCTTGTACTCTGAAATGGTCCAGGCTTACGAGGCATTGATCGACTTTAATTGTCTGGCCCCCCCTGAGCAGCTCGAGATGGCAGCTTTGCGTCGGCAACGTGCGGGAGCTGCAGTCCGCGACCTCCAGCCCCGGGCCCTCCCCCAGCGTCTCGCCCCCAGGGCCATGGTATCTCGTTCTCTCGCTCGCGCGATTGCTCGCCAGGATGTTCGCCTCGCGCGTTCGCTGCGTGCCCAGCATCCCTGGACGCGTGCTCATTTGGAGGTGTCGGTCGACGGGCACGTCCGCCTAGTTGACCCCGTTAAATTTGGCAACCTTCATGCGAGCCCCCAGCAGCAAGAGGCCACAAAGAGACGGGGGCAACTCGAGCGAGAAGCCGCGGCGGAAGTAAACTGCCCTGGGCGGGCTCGGACCCCTGGGCGGAAGCAGGCGGCTGGCCGCAGAGCCCAACTATGGAATCCCTTTTTCGCGACGCAAGTTTTTAGCCGCGGTTGTGTCAGCAGATTGATTCAGCCACCCCCGATAGGCCAGGTCTGACTTCGAAGTCGGAGCGAGCTGTCTCTGTCGCTGCCTTAGCCAGGTACTGGGGCCCGATCTCCGATGGGGACCAGTCCCGTGCCCGCGTGGGGGGGGGGTCGGTACTTGGAGTGTCTCGGGAGTAGCACGGGTCTGGGCTTCTCGTATTTCCCACCTCGTTCCAAGCGGTCGCCTGGAAGGTTCATCTGGCGTGCCCCCAATAGCACGCCTGGACCTGATGGGCTCCACCTTCGGGCCTGTAGTATTGGTCGTGGGGCTGATGTCTTATACAACGTCCTATGTTGGACACTGCAAGGTCTTCCCATGCCGATGTCCTTTTCTGCATCTCTTGCTGTCTTCCTCCCCGAACCGCTAGCGGGCGAGGCTGCGTCGCTAGAGGGGCTCGTGCGTGCGGCGCGCGACGCCCGCCCCCTAGGACTGAATCGTGCTGCTAATAAGATCGTCGGCGCTACCATCAACCGTGCTGTCGCGACTGCGATCCAAAAGATCGGAGCTCCAAACCAGCGCGGATTCATTGCTGGCCGCAACTTTGAACAACACCGTGGATCTAGATAGTTCGGCTCGCCTGGCCAGTCTTAATGCCGTCGCCTCTTCTCCCCTTGCCCCTCCTTCCCTTATGTCTTTCGACTATGCCCAGGCGTTCCCGCCGGTCCGGCAAGAATGGGTGAATATGTGTGCGCGGGCGCGCAGGCTTCCGCAAGGTATCAGGCGAGCCGCGGGTGTCTTCTGCGCTGCTAACCCACGCTACAGCGAGGTAGACCGCGCCTTATGCCATATATACTTGATGTGTTCGGGCGTCCTTCAGGGCTGGCCCCTCTCGGGATCGCTTTTTGTGATAGCAGCGAATGTCTCCCTGGGCGACGCGTTTAGGAACATGGGCCGCAAGCGGCGGGGATGCACTCGAGTTTGCGCTGATGGTGCGGGGGCGGTTATCTGGAGGTGACGGGGGTATGTCGTGTTTGCTCGAGTCTTCTGTCTAGCCTCGCTGATTGCCAAGCTGCAATTGAAGGCGTCCAAATGTTTGGCGGCCCCCCTGGAGCACCGATGCCAGATCCCAGCGAGGTTCGGGCGATGCGCCAGCACCAGGTGGTCGCAGACCTTCGATCGGTGCTCGCCCGCGCGGACCCGACTTGGGAGGAGTTTCAGGATGTCGGCAACCTACCTTATTTAGGCGTCCGTCTGGGACCCAGTTGTACCCTGCTCGGGAAGTGGGGGCCTCCCATGGCTAAGCTCAAAGAAAGGACGGTCCGACTTGCTGGTGCAGGTGCCTCCTTCGCTCGGAGCGTGGATCGTTTCCTCGACCTTGCACTGCCTGTCCTGGGCTACAAGGCCCAACTGTTTCAGCTCCCTCGACAGCTCGCAGCATCCGAGAGGCACCCGATTGCCCGCCTTTGGCATGCACCGAGCAGCAGCATGGGCCGCGGCGAGTGGTTTGAGCTGGCTTCGCGGGGAGGTCCGAGACTGAAAAGCGCGGTGTCTCTTTGCTCTGCACCCCTCATGCGCCCGGCGCTCCTCACTCTCAACACGTGGCAAGTCCAGGTTGCTAGGCTGCGTCGTGCCATTGTCGAACGGGGACCTGCCGCGTGGTGGAGTGGGGACAAGCTCGCCCCCGATTGTTGGGAATCGCCCTCCATCGCGCGCACGTTGGAGCACGCCCCGCTTGGGTTCCCTGCCCCCCCCCCCCGCGCCCTCCCATCTGGCGTCCGTCGTCGTGTCGGGCAACCTTCTTGTGCGGCTCGAAGATATGCTCTCGCCCGGCAGAGCGGGGGGGTCGAGGCGCTCGGATTGTTTCGAGCAGGGGTTCCCAGAGACGAGCGCAAGCGTCCGCGGTGGCAGAGTGCGTTCCAGGTGTGTGTTTGGCCGTGCCCTCTTTGCTCCCGAGAGCCTCGGTTGCCGAAACAGATCGCGCGCGCGGGTGCGGAAGCATTTCAGCCCGTCCTTTGAAATCGACCATGTGGAAGAACTACAGTCGCTTCTGAAGTTGGCACCGATGGCGCGGGGCCTAATCGCGCTTCGGAGCTGGCTCGGTTGCTGGATCGCGAACAAGCGAATGCAAATGACGAATCATGTGTTTTGCATGTTCGGATGCCCTTGCGCCCCCGATGCGATCGCCCATTCTGATTCTGTTCTCGGCCGTGCCCGTATTCAATGGGTTGCCTCAGTGCCCCTGCGCCCCCCCCCCCCTTCCCTCCGACCCCTCGTTCATTCTCGGCTGGGGGGGGGGGGGTCCCTGGCCTTCATCGTCGCCCATCAGGCGTCACTCCCTCTCTCAGCGACAGGCGCAGCCGAGGTAGTCGGTGCTGCCCGCCTCGCCGCGCGCCCCCCGACAAGAGGCAGGCGGCGTCGCTTCCTCGATCGCGCTCACCTCGAGTCCACCGCGGCGCAGGCGCGAGGGGGCGGTGGTGGCGGGTAGGATGGCAGGATCCGACTCGTCTCGGCCACGCTCCACTTCCTCCTCTTCCTCTTTCCCCCCCCCCGCGGCTGCCGCCCCCCCTTCCGTGGCCCCCTCTCTCCTCTTGCTCGTCCGGCTGATCGTGCCTCACGTGCTCCTCGTCCTCCTGATCTTTTTTGACGTTAGCCACGCATGTGCATCGAGGCTGTCTCGCGTTTCGTTCTTCTTCTCCCCATGTGCCTCGCCGCCCTCCCATTCGCCCCGCCGCCGTCTTCCCTCTTCCGATTATGGCTCCTGCCCCCGTATCAGATCCTGCTCCCGATCTCGCCCCCGTTCCTTCTTATGCGTTCTAGTTGCTTCTGCTGCAGGTGCTGGTCGTAACTCCGCATTTCGTCCTCATCATGGTCATCGTCGTTATCCTCGCCCCCTTTTTATCCCCAGGAGACGGTTTAAGTTAGGTCGGCGTTTGTTTTGGGACCCTGGGGCCGTGTGGCATAGGGGCCCTGCAGAGAATCCGCCAACGCCTGCGCCTTCACCACAAATCACATGTGACGGCTTCTGTTGGTTCTGACACCACCTGATGTGCCTCGGCCAAGTATGTGTTGCTGGAAGCAGCTCAGGCTGGCCCAGCCTGCTTCTCATCCTCCCGCGCAATCCTCATTTCGACACCTGGAATGACGGCTCCGGCGGAGAGGATCCGACAGCACGAGGCGGCCACTCAAGCAGCAGGATCGGCCTGATGGCCGCAAAGCGGTACGTTCTGCCAGTGGGCCTTCGAGAGGAATTCCTGCTTGTGCTCCCGTCTTTCTTCCTTCCCGGCCCTCGGCCCCGCCCTCCCGGCTCGCCCCTCTCCCTGCCTATATTGCCTGCCACCCTGGCCACCCCTCCCCTCGTCCCGTCCATTTCCGCTGCGTGACTGCTCCTCTTCTTTCATGGCCCTTGTCGGTCTGGTTTTTGGCGTCGTCCTTCTCCTCGCGTGATCCTTCTCAATCTGGGCAGGCTCTCCAACCTTCATGTCAATATCACGTCCACGTTTGAATTTCGAATCTCAGCTCCTGCCCTTGACTACCTGCTGGTGCGCGGACGTAACGGCTCTTGGCTGCACGGGCATCGGCGGCGTGGGAGCGATATTCATCGCGCCTCGCGCTTCGTGCAGCACGATCCGCGACGTCAGGTGACCCAGGGTCTCCGCTCCTGCGCGTGACCCGCCGCAGTACGACCCGTACCGCAACGCCCGCATTTGTCTGGTCAGGTACGAGGACGCGCTGTGCCTCGGCGGGTTGTTGATACTGAGGAGGGAGGGGAGGAGCAGAAGGAGGAAAAGAAGGAATATGAGGAATAACAATAAAAAAGGGAGAGGAGGACGTGGTGGTGGTGACAGTTGGAGGAGGATCAGGAGAACAACGAGCAATCGCTTGCGGAGGATTTGTCAGCAGTGAATGCGGGTGACAGGGGAGGCGGAGGGGAGGAGGGGCAAAACAAATTGTAGGTGGAGGGGGGGGAGGAGGGGGATTTCTGGATGTTTCGCTGTCCGGGCAGCGTTGGGCCGCGCTCGGCAGTGCACTCCGTTGACACTTTGGCCCCGTCTGAGTCGAGGGAGGAGGAGGAGGAGGAGGAGGAGGAGGAGGAGGAGGAGGAAAAGGAGGAGGAGGAAGAGGAAAACGAGGAGGAGGAGGAGGGCGTCTTCCTATGCTTGCACGGCTCGGCGTATTCGCAGAATCTTGAGGTTTGGAGGAGGAGGAAGAGGGCGTCTTGGTGTGCTTGCACGTGTCGGCGTATTCGCAGAATTGTGAGAGTTGGAGGAGGCGGTGGAAGAGGAGGAGGAGGAGGAGGAGGAGGAGGAGGAGGACTCCTCCTCCGCCTACTGGAGGAGGAGGAGGAGGAGGAGGAGGAGGAGGAATACAGGATCAGGAGGGGGGCCGACAGGGAGGACGGGGCGGGTGCGGAAGCAGGACGGCGAGAAACGCTACATCCTGCACGCGATCGGTTTCTTCGTGGGCCAGGAGGTTGTCCTCCGCGCGCCCGCCCCGTCGGCGCCCCCGCCAGACCCCACGCGCTTCCCCCCGGCATGTTGGTTTTTTTCTGCTCTTGGGGCGATGGGTGATAAGGGGGGCGGGGGCAGGCCTCCCAGATGGGGTCCGAGTAGAGGGGGTCGGAGGATCGCGCCGCATCGCCGATGCCTCGGCGATGCGGCTCCATGCGGAGCCCGGTCTTTTCCACGCAGTCGGCGCCGATGGCACCGCCGACGTCGCCGATGCACCGCCGACGCATCCGCAATGTATCGCCGATGCATTGCCGATGCGGCGCGGTCCTCCGACCCCATCTGCTAGGACCCCATCTAGGATGCCTCTAGCCTAAGGAGAAGCGTGAGGGAGCAGAGAGAGGGAGCCGAGGGAGGAAGGGAGGTCATGGGGGAGCTTTTGGAGGTCCCTCCAGTGCCTCTGGCGCTCACCTCTGTGTGAGCCCAGGGCACTTCAGAGCAGGCTGGGGCGAGTTCGCCAGGATTGGGTCGAGTTAGCCTGGATTGATACCAGTAGCGGCACATGTAATGCCTCGTTGCTTGCATCTCTGTTTACACGCATTCTCATACCGAAGCCGTTTCGGTTCAAGGCAGCGGTGGAAAGTAAGTTGTGGAAGCGGAGGGTGTGCGGGTGTGCGGCCTTGGTGCTCAGTCCATTAATTTTGAAGCAGTCGGCGAAATCAGCCCCCTCTCTGGTCCTAGGGGGTATGGCGGGGCGGGGGCCCGTTCTGGTCGTCAAGACAACTGAAACAAACAACAGTAGCGACCATGATTTTCCACATTTCCATCAGGGTCCTGATCATGACTTCTTCACCGCCACAGTGAACACAAGAGGAGCTGATGGGGTCGCCTTGCTTCATCCCCCGCGCGTCGGTGAATGGACAACTCCTATCATGCGCAGCATTCCTTGCCACTTGCCGCCGGTATGATCGCTCCACGAAGGTTCGTACAACATGCCGGTGCATGTGTTCTCGCGCAGTGCAGTTCACAATGAGTGATGTCCCACAACGTCCGGTCTTTTCTTCAAAATCGGCCGTGTCGCCCCACCCCGCCCAGGAACGCGTCGATTCTCTATCTGGGGCCTATCGCCGATCGGTCGACGATGTGTCGCCGATTCAAAGTCAATGTTTTCCCCCGAGCCTGTCCCCCCCAATGTTGGTGCGCGCCTAGGACGCGCACCCAGCGTCCTGGGCGCAGAGGCTGGGTGAGCGCCAAGACGCCTACGGCCCGCCTACGGCGCGATCCCCCCTCTCTTCGGAGCGTCCGCGCAACACTGCGGAGGAATAGTGAAGGTAATCGGGAATTGGGAACCGGGAGCCGGGAACCAGGAGCCGCGAACTGGAAACGGGAGACGGCACGTGGGGACCGAGACCCGCGGGGAACCGGGAACCAGGAACAGGGATTTGGGAACACGGAGGGGGCGACTGGAAGGGAAACCGGGAACGGGGGACTGGGAACCAGGAACATGGGAACCCAGAACCGGGAGCTGGGATTTGGGAGCGGGAGCCAGAATCCGGGAACCGGGAGATGAGAACCGAGAGCCAGGAACCAGGAACCGGGAGTTTGGAATTGGGAGCCAGGAGCCGTGAAACCGGGAAACCGAAATCCAGGGCCAAGGGCATGTGTTCGGGAATTGGGGAGCTGGGAGAGAGGGAATACGAAGGCGAGTGATATATATATATATATATATATATATATATATATATATATATACACACACACACACACACACACACATACACACACATACCCCCGCCCACGAGGCCTGGGCGCCGAGGGCCCGGGCCTCGAGCGCGCATGGGAGGACCGGGGTATCCGAGACCGCTCCCACAGCACCCCGGAGGGGCCGTGGAGCCCCCAGACTGCCCCAGAGAGCTCCAAGACGACGCTCCCAGAAACCCCCAGGGGACTTCGACAAGCCCCTCCAAGACAGCCCAGATAGCCCCAACGTGGCCCAAGATGGGCTCCAGACCGCAAATACGCACCCCCAGAGGCGTCCAAGAGGCCTCAAGAGGGCTCCGAGCCAAATCTTTGATTTCCATTGGTTTTTTAACATGTTTTTCGGCTTCTCGCGTTTTCGACCTTCCGACGCTCCAAGGCGGCCGCCGACGCCCCGAAGACGCCCCAAGACCGCCGAAGAGGTCTCCAAAAGAGTCCCAAGACGACCTCAGGGAGTCCGAAAATTGCCCAGGAGGAGCCTCAGACGGCCATGAGAGCCCCAGGACGGGCCCAAGTTTGGCCACAGAGCGGGAGCGGGATGCCCCAAGGCGCTCCAAGACGGCCCAGATGGCCCCAACGTGGCCCCAGATGGACCCAACACGGCCAATACATAGCCCAAGAGGCCTCAAGAGAGCTCCGAGAGGCGTCCCGAGAGAGCCCGAAGAGGCCCAAATCCTTGATTTCCTGTTGTTTTTTCAAATGGTTTTCGCTTTCTCGCTTTCTCGAGCTTCCAACGCTCCACGACGGCCGAAGACGCCCCGAAGATCGCCCCAAGACCGCCGAAGAGGTCCCAACAGGACGGCCTGTTAAGGCCCAGTGAAGCGACCCCCCCCCCCTCACAAGTTTCGTTCAGTGCGTCGCCCGAGCGTCGCCCGTGCGCCGGCCCTGGTTTGCGTCTCTGTCCCGAATCCCGGCCTCCCAGAGTGCGTGGGCGACATATGGCGCGACTTCGGAATTTCTCTGGCGATATATAGGTTTCCGACGCCGGTGCACCAGCAGCCATTTTGGCGGTCGCGGCGCTTTCCTAGTTCGACGGTCCACCAACGCCTTCTGTTCCCAATTCGGCGCAAGAGGATTTCTTGGTGTTCATTGTCGGGGGCGCCAACCGTTGCTGAGGACGACGCCTCGCGTTGATTGGGGGCTGTGCGTGTCGCGCCACGGTGGGGGTGACGTCACGTCGCGCAACGTGGCGCCACTTCGCCCCGTCGCATCGCGCCCCCCACCCCCATGTCATTTCGCGCCAATCCTCCTGCGCCCCCCTTCTTCCTTCCTCTTCCCCTCGTCCAACGCGCTGCGCGTTGTTTCCCGTTTGCGAAATTTGTATTCCGTTTTTTTGTGTCAGGCTGCCGCCCTGTCCACCTCCCTACTCACCCCCCGTTGTCCTTCCACCCTCCTGGAACTTCTTCTCGCCCTCCTCGCTCCCGCCGCCCCCCTTCGATCGCCTTCCATCGTTCCCGCCGCCGCTGCGCCGCCCTCGCGCGCCCCCCCCCCTCGCCCGTCCGTTCCCATTTCCGCCCGCCCTGCCCTCGCCTCACTTCCATCCTCTTTTCCCCCCCAAATGCATCGGCGGGCGAGACGTCGCCAAATTGCTGCAGCGACGTACCGATGCTCAAAATCTGACGGGTCGTGCGTTTGACATGGATTAGTCCCTGCGCGCTGCATCTCCACGTCGTCTATTGGTCTCCTCGCGTTCGTAGTTCTCACGTGCGTGTCTCGGTATTTCTACGACTGCCGCGCGCATCCCTCGATTGTTTCGCCAGCGGGCCGTGCAGTTCACATGCCGTCAGGAGTCCACGGCGCCCTTCGAGCGATTCGCGCGCGACCTGCGCGCGACGCGCGAACGACCCGAGCGACGCCCATGCGCGACGCGCGCGCGACGCGCGCGCGACGCACCCCGACCCGCGCGCGACGCACCCCTGCCAACGCGCGACGCACGACCGACCCGCGCGACGCACGCGCGACGCACGCGCGACGCACGCGCCACGCGCGCGACGCACGCGCGACGCACGCGCGACGCACGCGCGACGCACGCGCGACTTTGCCCGCTTTTAGCATTTCTCCGAGCAGCAATGCGCAACGGCCGTCGGCCCGCCGTGCTTGCGCTGTTCACAAGTGGCGGCGGCTGCGTCCTCCATTGCGCCAGGAAGGGCGGTGCTTGCCGTTGTTATTTCCCTTTTCCTTCCTCGTCGTCCCTCCTCTTTTGTCATTCCTCCTCCTTCATCCTCTCTCCTGCCTCGTCTCCCTCTCTCCTCCCCTTCTCCTCGTCCTTTCTACCGGCCTCCGTCTGTCTGTCCCCCCCTCCTCTCTCGTCTTTGTTTTTTTCCCTTGCCACCCCGTGTCCCTCTTCATGTTCTTTTCTCCTTCGGCCCCCCTTCCACGGCCGCGGCGCGTCGCCGCGAGCGGCGCCCCCGCCTTCCGCGAACGGCCCCGCCGCCGGCGGTGGAAGAGGAAGATTACGAGGAGAAAAGGAGGGGGGAGGGGAAGGGGCGCGAGGCGGGCGCGGCGGCAAGGGCGGCCCGGCAGGGGAATGGCGGGGAGGGGGAGGAGGACGGAGTGGGCGGGTGCTTCTGTATTGGTCATGTTGGTGATCATGGTCGTGGTCGCGTTCGTCGCCTTGGTCGCGTTGGCGGCGGTCGTGCCGCTGGTGGTGGGCGGGCTGGTGGTTGTCACGTCGGTGATCGTGCTGGTGTCGGTCGTTGTTGTGGTCGCGAGAAGCGTGGTGGTCGTGGTGGTGGTGATGGCGGTAATTGGTGTTAGTCGTAATCGTCGCGGTGGATGTGGTTGCGGTCGCATCCGTTTGTGGTGATCGTGGCGGCGGTAGTTTTGGCGCTGGCGGCGGTTGCGGCGGCTGTGGCGGCGGCTGCGGGGACCTGCTGGCCTATCGGCGGGCTGCGTTCAGCAACATCGCTGCGTTTACAATGTTAGGGGGATTTGCTGATCTGCCGAGGTGGCCCAGCGGTCGCCTTCTTCTCGCCAAGAGGGCCGCAGCGTGGGCGACTTTCTTTTTCCCGAAGGCGACCAGCCTTTTCAGCGGCCGTGGAGACGGCGACGCGCGTGCGATCCGCCCCGTGGGTGTCCGCCGCGCTGGCGACGCACTCACCAAATTGCCCCCTTGCGAGGGCGACGTGCACGTTCGAGAGGACGGCTGGCCTGTTCGGCGACCGACGCACGGGCGGCGCACGGGCGACGAATGCGCGACGCACCTCCTGTCGCAAAGGGGGGGGGTCAGCACGCCGGTCGCTGTACTGGGTCTTAACAGGACGGCCC